ACTTGTCTCTTTTCACTTTATAAGTTACAGAAGTTTCATGTGTGCCTGAACTGTTATTACTTACTTAAGGGGGCTTGATGTGTTTTTTCATAGTTTACTTATTTGTTTTCAATCACAAAACACTATTTTAAGCTAATGTATAGCTCTAAATAATGTTCCTACATGCTTAGTTTTATATAGAACTTGATTCATGGTGAATTAATATTACTCTACTTCATTTTTATGTCATATGGTTAAGGGGTTTACTTGTTACAGAGAGTTTTCACCTGGCAACTTAGGGAAGCTAATTAATTTAGCTGTTTTGTTCAGTGAGACATGTTTTTTAACTGTAACTATGGAACCAGTTGGCTTATATCAATGATTAGCCCAGCAAAATACTTGCCTTGTTTACTTTATAAGTTACAGAAGTTTCATGTGTGCCTGAACTCTTCTTAGCTACTTAAGGGGGCTTGATGTGTTTTTTCATAGTTTAATTATTTGTTTTCAAACACAAAACAATACTTTCAACTAATGTATAGCTCTAATTAATGTTCCTACATGCTTAGTTTTATATAGAACTTAATTCATGGTGAATTAATATTACTCTACTTCATTTTTATGTCATATGGTTAAGGGGTTTACTTGTTACAAGAGTTTTCACCTGGCAACATACGGAATCTAATTAATTTAGCTGTTTTGTTCAGTGAGACACGTTTTTTAACTGTAACTATGGAACCAGTTGGCTTATATCAATGATTAGCCCAGCAAAATACTTGTCTCTTTTCACTTTATAAGTTACAGAAGTTTCATGTGTGCCTGAACTGTTATTACTTCCTTAAGGGGGCTAGATGTGTTTTTTCATAGTTTATTATTTGTTTTCAATCACAAAACACTATTTAAAGCTAATGTATAGCTCTAAATAATGCTCCTACATGCTTAGTTTTATATAACTTAATTCAGGGTGCATTAATATTACTCTACTTCATTTTTATGTCATATGGTTAAGGGGTTTACTTGTTACAGAGAGTTTTCACCTGGCAACGTACGGAATCTAATTAATTTAGCTGTTTTGTTCAGTGACAGGTTTTTTTAACTGTAACTATAGAACCAGTTGGTTTATATCAATGATTAGCCAGCAAAATACTTGTCTTGTTTCACTTTATAAGTTACAGAAGTTTCATGTGTGCCTGAACTCTTCTTAGCTACTTAAGGGGGCTAGATGTGTTTTTTCATAGTTTAATTATTTGTTTTCAAACACAAAACACCTTTTAAACTAATGTATAGCTCTAGATAATGTTCTACATGCTTAGTTTTATATAGAACTTAATTCAGGGTGCATTAATATTACTCTACTTCATTTTTATGTCATATGGTTAGGGGGTTTACTTGTTACAGAGGGTTTTCACCCGGCAACGTACGGAATCTAATTAATTTAGCTGTTTTGTACAGTGAGACATGTTTTTTAACTGTAACTATGGAACCAGTTGGCTTATATCAATCATTAGCCCAGCAAAATACTTTTCTTGTTTCACTTTAGAAGTTACAGAAGTTTCATGTGTGCCTGAACTCTCTTAGCTACTTAAGGGGGCTAGATGTGTTTTTTCATAGTTTAATTATTTGTTTTCAAACACCAAACACTACTTTAAACTAATGTATAGCTCTAAATAATGTTCCTACATGCTTAGTTTTATATAGAACTTAATTCAGGGTGCATTAATATTACTCTACTTCATTTTTATGTCATATGGTTAAGGGGTTTACTTGTTACAGAGGGTTTTCACCTGGCAACGTACGGAATCTAATTAATTTAGCTGTTTTGTTCAGTGGACAGGTTTTTTAACTGTAACTATGGAACCAGTTGGCTTATATCAATGATTAGCCCAGCAAAATATTGCCTTGTTTCACTTTATAAGTTACAGAAGTTTCATGTGTGCCTGAACTCTTTTTAGCTACTTAAGGGGGCTAGATGTGTTTTTCATAGTTTAATTATTTGTTTTCAAACACAAATCACCAGTTTAAACTAATGTGTAGCTCTAAATAATGTTCCTACATGCTTAGTTTTATATAGAACTTAATTCAGGGTGCATTGATATTACTCTACTTCATTTTTATGTCATATGGTTAAGGGGTTTACTTGTTACAGAGAGTTTTCACCTGGCAACGTACGGAATCTAATTAATTTAGCTGTTTTGTTCAGTGAGACAGGTTTTTTAACTGTAACTATGGAACCAGTTGGCTTATATCAATGATTAGCCCAGCAAAATACTTGCCTTGTTTCACTTTATAAGTTACAGAAGTTTCATGTGTGCCTGAACTCTTCTTAGCTACTTAAGGGGGCTTGATGTGTTTTTCATAGTTTAATTATTTGTTTTCAAACACAAAACAATACTTTAAACTAATGTATAGCTCTAAATAATGTTCCTACATGCTTAGTTTTATATAGAACTTAATTCATGGTGAATTAATATTACTCTACTTCATTTTTATGTCAAATGTTTAAGGGTTTACTTGTTACAGAGAGTTTTCACCTGGCAACGTACGGAATCTAATTAATTTAGCTGTTTTGTTCAGTGAGACACGTTTTTTAACTGTAACTATGGAACCAGTTGGCTTATATCAATGATTAGCCCAGAAAATACTTGTTTCTTTTCACTTTATAAGTTACAGAAGTTTCATGTGTGCCTGAACTCTTTTTAGCTACTTAAGGGGGCTAGATGTGTTTTTCATAGTTTAATTATTTGTTTTCAAACACAAATCACCAGTTTAAACTAATGTGTAGCTCTAAATAATGTTCCTACATGCTTAGTTTTATATAGAACCTTATTCAGGGTGCATTGATATTCTCTTCTTAGCTACTTAAGGGGCTAGATGTGTTTTTTCATTGTTTAAGTATTTGTTTTTTCAACATAAAACACTAGTTTAAACTAATTTGTAGCTCTATATAATTTTCCTACATGCTTAGTTTTTTATAGAACTTAATTCAGGGTGCATTAACATTACTCTACTTCATTTTTATGTGATATGGTTATTTGTTACAGGGAGTTTTCACCTGGCAACTTAGGGAATCTAATTAATTTAGCTGTTTTGTTCAGTGAGACAAGTTTTTTAACTGTAACTATGGAATGTGTAGCTCTAATTTTTATATGATGTATTTCTTCTTATAGTACATAAAATGGAAAGAAAGGGGAAAAAACCGATTAGAATCCTTAGGGATAGTTTTACATATGGGAAAAATGCAAAGAATGCGCCTCATATTCTGGCAGTTTTTCCGAAATTCAAGATATCGTTGGTGTAAGTATTCTTGTTTTATGTCACATTGTAGTGCTAATTATAATGATAGATTTTTTAAGGAATAAAATCACCTGCAATGATTATGACCTTTTTTTAATCATGCAGGTAATATGTACGTTAAATGTGCCAACCCTAACCCCTTATCAACGATGTTCGTAGAAATAAAGTTGAAATTTTGTTGCATGACAGGTCTTTTAAGTGCCAAGATTGCTTCTAAAGAGGGGAGAGGGACAAAGATTATCATCTGTTGCAATTAATTAGCAAACTCCATAAGTTTATACAAAATCAATTTTATGATTTTTTAGAGTTTTAATGGAAAGTGGAAGGTTGATTTTAAGGATACAAAAATTGACAGAACTGTTCAATATGAGTTTACTTTGCCAGCAGATGAAGTAAGTTATGAAATATAGTATTTTATACCAGTTTTTTGTATTGTTGTAGAAATACATGCCAGGATAAGTAATGTACCATCTTGATTAAGAAACAAGTAAATTCTACTTTTATTCATTCTGTAGACAAAACAATGTGAAATAGAAGAACACCTTGACAGCATTGATATGCTGATAAATGAAGAAATGTTGCAGACAACATCGAACAGGGCAACAGAAATGGAAGACTGTTCCAGTGAAAACCAGGTTCGCAACAAAGGACAATTTTATCTGATTCGTTGTTACTTGCTAGCGACTCATTTCAAACTTTTTTAGAGTGCAATTTTATATACCCTGTATATGTATGTACTTTTCAGAAAACTGTAGAATCTTGTGAAAGCGAAAGTTGTGGTGAGTCAAGTGATGAAAGTTGGGCCCCGTCAAAAGATGCACATGTCCATGAGGAAAGTGAACAAGGGCATTCAAGCAAGTCATTACAAGAAGACCTTTCAGTTGAAAGTCATAAGCAGAGGAAATCATCTGGTGAGCAAAATGTTACTGCACCCCAGAGAAGAAAAATTTCGTGTCCCTTGGTAATGTGTAATGCCAAGGTCGTGCATCTCCCAAGACATATGCGAAATGTGCATCACTGGACGAAGGAAGCTGCTTCGAAAGTGCTATTAAAATACAATATCAGACAGCGACTCACCAAAGAACCGAAGAAAAAAGATTATCGTTGCCGTCGCAAGTGTCCCATTGATGATTGCCACTCGATTGTTCGACGTTTACCAAAGCACTTGCAAAAGGTGCACAAGTTAGATAAAGCATCGACGATGTACCAACGTGCAATTGTAGATGCTCCCGTTGCTCCAAATCGTAAGCATGCCATGATTAAGTGGCAAGAAGAACAGTTAAAGAGGAAGACATGGGAAGTGGATCGAAGCCACCAACATCGCAAGGAACAAGAAGAAGAAGATGAAGAAGAACAGGATGAAAATAAAGAGGTTATTGGTGAAAATAAGCGTGGACGTTATGACCATGATGATGATGACGACCATAATGATGATGATGACGACCATAATGATGATGATGATGATGATGATGATGATGATAATGATGATGGTAGTTTTAATGATGACGATGGCGATGACGATGACGAAGATGAAAGCAGCAGCATGGAAGATGTGAAACAGCAGACAAAATCAACATTACCACCTGTAATCACGGAGTTTCAAGAGTGGTTGGCGTCTCCTGATGGCAGCAAAAAAGATGAAAAAACGGTCATGCAACATGGTTCTCAGCTGTATATCCTGCTAAAAGCCATCGATGATTCAGAGAACATTCAGTCCCTATTTGACCTGAAGTTAATCCGTCAAGTTTTTCTAAATGTGCATGTGAAGCAGAAAAAGTACGAAGCTGGCACAATCAAGTCGTACCTCATGAGTCTGCGGCATTTCTTTTCGTTTGTGCTGTCTGACAAACCGGAAAGCATCAAATTCAATTGGGTGGACGTAAGCTCTGCGCGGGAAAAGGTAAAGATGTGGTCTGCGTCATACAAGAGAGAGTCTAACACAAGAAAATGGCAAAAGCTTGAGGAAGATATGCTTAACCGTTTGACGCCTTCAAATATCAGGAAGCTGGAGAAAAGTGCGGCAGCTCGAGAGGCTATTAAGATAATTGGACAATACTCTGATTCAGCCGAGTCGACCCCTGTTACCCAATCCAGTTACACCCTTGTCAGGGATTTCCTATTTACCCAAATATTCATAGATAATGCCAATCGACCAGGTGTCTTAGCTCATATGACGATGGAGGAATTTACTAACATCCGAAAACAAGATGACCATTATCTAATAACAGTGAAGAAACATAAAACGGCGCATGTTCATGGACCAGCTCGTGTCGTATTGAGCGAAAAGCTGAAGTCGTGGATGTCGGTATTTGTTGGTGTGATGCGAGCCCATGTTACAACCCGAATCAACGGTCCAGTATTCTTATCCTGGAATGGAAATGGTATGAATTCTGGGCACATCACTAAGGCAGTACAATCTGTGTTTAAAAAGGCTGGAGTGGACGTTAAAATAACTTGCACCTCGTTTCGTAAGGCAGCAGTAACCAAAGTACACATCGACAAGCCAGAAATGAGTGGGAAATTAGCTAGCCCTTATCTCACAACGAAGCGACCGCAAAGAAGTATTATCTTCTGACAGAGAAGTCGAAAACGTCCATAGAAGCTTCGCGAAACCTTGGACGGCTGATGCGAACCGACGATGGAGGTGGAGATATTCTCGAGACCGCCACTACAGTAGAGGAAACAATGGCTGTTGATGGTAAGGGAAAGTCTTCCCCATGCGAATCATCCGAGAGTGAAAGTAAAAGAGCTCCTTGGACTGACGACGACGTTGCCAAAATTAAGAAAATATTCCAGAAGGATATATTGAAGAATAACGTAACCCTGGATGTTGTTCGTCATGGTGTCGAAACACATGAAGAGCTTTGTGGCATGTCACCAAGGCGAATTTACGACAAGTTAAAGAAAGAGGGCAAGAAAAATTTAGGTGAACTTGTTCCTGTCATGGAGCTACCACAAGAGCACGATTCTTTGGAAGATAAATTGGATCGTATGGAAGATGTGCAAAAGCATGCAGAAGAATCAGGAACCAACGATGACCAGTTATCCACAAGCATCATTGCCCCTACAGAAAGGAATAGCCTCTTCAATTGTGACGAAGTCCAAACCATACAAAAATTGTTTGAGGATATGATTCGGAAAACCGTGATAATTTCCAAAGTTGAAGTTGAAAAGAGATGTTCTGGCAGCCGTGATGGACGTAGTTTGTTGCAAAAGTCAACGCCTATTGCCTTAGTCAATAGAATAAAATATGAACGAAGAAAACATAGATTGGCAAAAAACGTTAAGTAAACTTCATAGTTAAAATTGCAAATTAGGAAAAAGATATGGACAAACTTTTGAGACTTGAACACTTTTATGTACAGTATTGTGTGTACATAAATTACACAGTTTAAATTAAGGACATTGAGGTCGTTAAGGCGTTAAAATGAAGCTTAAGGTATGCGCAAGCTTAGGTTTTACTTCTTGTCTCGTGTCTATATGACGCACTTTTGTTGATTTTGAACTGAATTATTGTATTTTTAAGTCTTGGTCGTTTCGATTATACTTTCCAAGTAGATATGGAAGTAGGTGTCTTCAATTTTCAAAGCTTCTCTTTTGATACAGTTTAGCATTGCATTTGAACGCATTAAACGTCCTCAATGTAGATCTGCATATTATAAATTAGAGTTGGAACACTTGTGGAAATTATATTTTAGCTATGACAATTTCCAAACCGTTGAATGTAATTAAAATAGATATCTTTATTTGAATTTCCATTAAAATTTTTCTAAATTTGTGATAATTATAATCTTTGTTTAAGCTGTCATATTTCTTCGAATAAATGGCGAAGACAGGCAATGACATTACCTGCAGCCACGAGGGAATCGGCAATTTCATCTTTTATTATATTCATTTTGAAATCAATGGCATTTCTTGCCATCTAATTGCTTTTTAACACAGTGATTTCAGCCTGGATTAACCTCATATCAGGTTGATTTCAAAATTGCTGACAACATTTGTATATGGTTTACATGGGAAATATCTAAAATACACGTGGTTCATAAGTGAAACTTTTACTTACTTTTACTCTTACGGTACACACTTAATTTAAAAGAACACATTTGCATTAGCAATGTCCCAATTGAGCAGGGTACTGGGTCTAGTCGCAAAGCATCTATGAACTGTTTGGAGGGACAAATGATATCAGACTTCATTTCCTGTCCCTCCAAATGGTCCATAGATGCTTTGCAGTTTGCGATTAGACCCGGTACCCTGCTCGATTTGGAAATGGCTAATCATACACAAAGTGTGTACAAGGACATGCCATTTGTGAAATATTACAGTTTGCGAACACATCGGAAAATGTCCTCTGGAGTAAAACAAAATAATACCATAAGCTTTTCTGCAGTTTTTTAAGGTCTAAAACTCGTAAGTCTCCTTCAGACTAAATCAAATATTATTTTCTGACCATGATACAAAAGTGCCATATGAAGGTTACAAAAGCGCCATATGAAGGTTACAAAAGCGCCACATGTAAGTTACAAAAGGTCCATAGTAAGGTTACAAAAGCGCCATTCACTGAAGGTTACGAAAGGACCACATAGGTTACGAAAGGACCACATAAGTTACAAAAGCTCCATATGAAGGTTACCAAAGCTCCATAAGGAGGTTACAAAAGGCCCAATTCTTCTAGCTAGCTAGCTAGCTAGCTAGCTATCTATCTATCTATCTATCTATCTATCTATCTATCTATCTATCTATCTATCTATCTATCTATCTATCTATCTATCTATCTATCTATCTATCTATCTATCTATCTATCTATCTATCTATCTATCTATCTATCTATCTATCTATCTATCTATCTATCTACTATCTATCTATCTATCTATCTATCTATCTATCTATCTATCTATCTATCTATCTATCTATCTATCTATCTATCTATCTATCTATCTATCTATCTATCTATCTATCTATCTATCTATCTATCTATCTATCTATCTATCTATCTATCTATCTATCTATCTATCTATCTATCTATCTATCTATCTATCTATCTATCTATCTATCTATCTATCTATCTATCTATCTATCTATCTATCTATCTATCTATCTATCTATCTATCATCTATCTATCTATCTATCTATCTATCTATCTATCTATCTATCTATCTATCTATCTATCTATCTATCTATCTATCTATCTATCTATCTATCTATCTATCTATCTATCTATCTATCTATCTATCTATCTATCTATCTATCTATCTATCTATCTATCTATCTATCTATCTATCTATCTATCTATCTATCTATCTATAGATTGTTGGCATTTAGCACAATCATGTAAAATTTGATTTTTTTCTTAAATTTTAGTTCTGTAGTGTCTGATACCGTCTTAAAATGTAAAACTGTGTGTAACCAATATCTACTTTGTGTTTATTCGTTGTGAAATATCCGTTTTTGCTTTTAAAACTACTGCATCAATTTTATTGTCCCAAATGCCAAGCTGAAAATAGATGTCCATGGTATTTTGCATAACTGTGGTATTCGGCGCAACTGCATGTTATTCCTTTTGGCATTTGGCGCAATCTTCATATTTTTGTCTCAAATACGGACTTTGAAACTTATTACTCTATGAGGCTATGTTAAATTAAATAATCTTTTTCCCTCTAAAGTCACGCACAGAAACAAAAGATCGTGAATATAAATGTGCTTTGCAAAAGGTACTTAGAGAGCGAAAATAAAAGCAACAAATATTTTTTTTACGTAGTCGTAACAATCATATGGTAACATGTTGGTAATTTACAATAATAAATCTGTTTGTCATGAGTCACAACAAATCTGCTCGGAGTTCGACCCCCGCCTTCTGAATTCATACGCTCTACGCACAGTCGTTTAAATTCTTATATTCAAATATGAATTTCTAGATTATTACCTTTCTGCATCATAATTATACTTTTTCTATATTAGCATGAACAAAATTGTTATCTTTGCGTTATTTGCATCATTAGAAGGCAGCGTTTAATGAAACTGCGGTTACAACGAGACTGGGACTGTCCGGAAAATATGTGACGCTCTTTTAGCCATTTTTTGATAACCAATAAAAGACCTCCAATGAAAAAATTACAAAAGTGCGCATTTTCAGTCGTATTTGTAGCTCTAAAATTGTTTTCTTACTCACGAAACAAGGTAATGCATATAACCCCTTACACACTTTTAATTGAGAGCACAAGTATTACCTCTTCCAGGCGATTGTCTCTCAACCTCGTTCCCAGGTCTTTTGGGACTTTATGAGAAAGAAGAGGAAATCACCACCAGAATCAAGGTAAAAGGCCCTGGGAACGAGGTTGGATTGTCTCTGCCACCTGGCCCAGTGGCGTCGCCAGCTTGATAAGTGTGGGGGACTTATTTATATACTCGTGTTTTACATTATTCATTTCTTTTCAAATTGATTGTTTTATCGGTCTGTCAACATGAATATATGAATATGTCCACCCCACTTATCGATGCTGGCGATGCCATTGACCTGGCACAAGCTTAAATTGCATATAATTACTGGATAAACTTCTCGATTCAAAGATTTATTTAAGCCTTCACTGTTTATAACCAAAGCATGTATGTATATATCCCAAATAATAATATTCACAAGAATTGTTCTTTAGATTGCTTAATTATTGATCCTCCATAATTATATGTGATTTAATTATATTCTATTGTAATTATATGTAATTAATTTAGTTTGGCTTGATACAGTTCGTCAAATTTTTTTTATTCATATTTTAAACAGAGCTATTAGGCATCTAAATGCTTTGCTAGAAGGCTAAAAGTTAATAATATACTTTGCAGGAAATATATCTAAATCGAAAATCTATTCAGAACTTTTCTCTGACACCCGTTATTATGGCAACAGAGACGTTTTGCAATGGCCGCAAAACAGGGTTTAATGGTGTTTATATCGCAAACGAGTTCAGTGACCCCAATTTTTTTTTGCAATAAACATTTACACTATAGATGCTTTATCTCTAAAAAGTTTTTTAAAATTCCGTCAAGTCTGTTTATTAAAAACGTTATTTTGGCTTATTAAAAATTTCCCCAAAATTTTCGTAAAAATTTTTTAAAACGTTTTTATAGATAAAGCATGTAAAGCGTAAATATTTCATGTCAAAAAAATGGGGGTCACCGAACTCGTTTAAGATATAAACACAATTAAACCCTGTTTGGCAGCCATCTGCAAAGTATATTAACTTTCAGCCTCAAAAAACTGGGCTTTTTAAATTTTTTTTAAAAAACTCTCCCCACCTATACCTGCTTCTTGATTGGTCGATCAGATACCAACATTGCACATGTATTATTATCATTACTAATCATAGATGTGTTATTATTGTTTTCATAATGTATTTGCAACTATGATAACTGTTATATAGCAACAGTCATGTTGGTTATAAATATGATGTGATGCAATGATCTTGTCTTGTAAATTTCGGGATAACTCGTTTCGACCATTGAATAAATTCTCCGCTTTTGCCTTTTATATTTTTCACTTTTTGTTAACCATGCAGCCTTTTCCTTTCCATACTTATTATGGGTATTTATACAAGCGAAAATAGGACGTAGACCTTCAAGGAATGTACCAATTTTCCTAAATATAAAATTATTATACGTACGGCTTATAATAAAGACGAACCTCGATTCTAAACTATGAGCCGCGGCCTATAAAAATCGCAAATAATATTTATGATCTTTGCAACTTATTAGTTTAAAGGAGTATATTTGCTGTTTAAAAGCCTTAATAATACATGGTCTGTTTGCTCTAACAAGCTCTAATTCTAGTCGCAAATAAGCTCTACGTATTTATACGAATCTTTAACATGTTTAGGTAGTGGCTTGTTCACTGTTTAAGGGTTCTATTATGCCCCCTGCATGTGCGATCAGTCAGTTTCTTTTATGTTGGACGACAAATGTTTTTGTCTGCAACTAACCTATAGTTTTGTTGTAGGGACAATTCTGACGACGTATATTCTGCGCAAACAACATCCTCTCTTGGTTAACCACAATCCAGCCTGATAACTTCCTGGCATGGTTTCTTTGCATGTGATGGTTCAGAGTATTTCCCAATAGTCTGAATGACTTGTATTCCTGTTCCTATACAATTCTTATTATATACTTATCTATAAAACTCTCTTCTCTTAGAGTGCTTGGAAGTCGATTACCTGTTGTATTCCGGTAAACTAGATGCAACTACTGCTGCCCTATTTAATTTCTCCTAAACATATTTATTATGGCCAAAATTTAGTGGCTAAGTC